AGAATTCGCTAAGTTCAAATTTCGGGGTTTTCGAGTCGTTACACAAAGAAAAACACATTAATTCAACACACAAGAAAGTCCAGAGTGCGACGCAACATAAAATCCACAGAAAACCGACACAACTCTTTGAAAATACAACGAAACTGTGTGAAATATAATATTTCGATCACTCAGCCAAAAGCTGCCATTTTGAAACTGAGCCTGCGATGAGCTAACACAAACTCGATTTCTCGACTACGAAAAAACCCAGGAAAAACAGAAACAGAGGGATTTAAGACACTTGGCCTACAGGCCAGTGTAATGAGGCCATCGGCGAAGGTAAACTATTTCAAAAATTTCCGAAAATCAAAAGTAATTCAGATGCAAATATTCTTGATTTTAATGCAACCAATCTCCTCCTGGTACACACCAGACAATGTTCATTGATAAAATTACAAAATAGACATGACATGATACATCTATTCTGTGATAAAATATTCTTTTCTAGTCCAACTGTCCAGTCCAGTCCATGTTTTGTACTATGCCTTTCTAAAATTCAAACAGCATAATAGAATAGTAAGAATACTATGGACTCATCGAACTGTGGAACGCAACAACATATTTTGTTGACACAGAGAAAAGCCCCCGCCACACAATACTAACCCATACAGAGGCCGTCCTATATTGTTTTTTTGTAAGTGCTATTTGTCATGATTTGCCACTCAGCAGTGCCTTAAACAGAAGCAGTCACCCCCTGGACGTCCACTATTTTTTAATATTTCCAGGAGGGTGAGTGCTTCTGTTTAAGGCAGTCTTCAGCTGATCAGTGACCACAAAAACAATATAGAGATGACCTTGTTTATGGTATTCTGTGCCCCAGCCGTCATTGCATTTTGCAAACTTCGACAGTTTGTTTACCATGTTTTATTAACATATTGAACCATGTTTTATTTAAACTACTTAATAGAAATTTTGTGTTTGCCTGTTTGGTAGTAAATGTTGCATGCTTGCTTAGCTGGATGCTCATCAGAAGGGCTAGTGGGAGGGGGGGGGGGGTGGTGAGGGCATATCGTTTTTTTCAGTCCCCCTAGCCCATAAATAATGAACCTGAGCACTTTCTAAAAATATCTAACCCCTTCCATTTTAGAACCATAGAAAATAGTTGACCCACCCCATTTTTTACTAGCCCCCCTCCCCCACCTGCCCAACCCATAAATAATGAACCTTCCCTTACTAGCTAGCCCATAAACACAGCCACAGACATAATTTACCACATAGTTTTAACATGTGTATTTACACAGGATGAAAAGCGTGCCCTCAATATGGTTGTAAAGGCAGATTAATCGTGTATTTTATTAGTGTTTAGTTACACTTAATGCGATTTATTAAAGACACTAAACGCACCTTTAGACACATTTAGTGTTTCCTATTAAGTGTATTAACGGCGAGATTAATACTTAAGACTAAATGTTGATTAAAGTGTACTAAAGGCAGATTTAATTAAGTTGATTAAATACGGATTAATGCAGTTTAAAGGAACACATAATTCCCTTTAATATCTGTGACCTATTTGACTAAAGGCGAATTTAATCATAAATGTTCTAGTTGGTTAAAGAGTATTAAAAGGAACTTTAATCCATTGTTTAAAGGTCGATAAAGCATGAGATAAGTATAAATTAATCACCTTAAAACTTTGATTAAACTTTGCGTAAATGCGAATTTAACTGTCTTTAATTAACCTATTATATATTTGCAATAATTCAGCTTTTCTTTGTTCGTTAGCTTGCTCTTACTTATATATAAAACCTATTCCATGAGAAATGGCATTGTGCCAGGTGCAAGGAAAAATACAACATAACAGAAAGTGCAGAAAATAGTGACTGAGAACATCGACTAGTATTCTATGGGATACCTTTGCACCCAATAGTATATGCACATTTTAAGTACTACTTACACCTTTAATTGTTAACCGTTTGTAAACGTCACAATCAAGTATCTCTCCTTCCTTGAGAGTGTTGCCTGTAATTTGGATTTTTGATTTCTAACTATAGCTTCGTTTTGGTAAAAATCATTAAATAGTTGGGGAAAAAATGCACATGAAAAGATTGTGCGCAACTACTTCTTAACCACCTGTGGTTTTTGCATCCGTTCTCTACTTGTTGATAACTGGTCTTGATTGTTAGACTTTGCCTGCACTTATCGATATCATGGAAGACACACAACAGTGATTTATGTGGATTCGTCTTATTGTGAAATCTATCTCCCAAAACATAACGACGCGTGGACATGGTCAGCGGATGCTGAAATTTATCCAGATCTTCTGGTTGTGGCAACTGTTCACAATGATCTCTATACTCCAAAGGTATCAACTCCGGCACATCAACATTATCCTTTATAACATGAAATGAAGTACTAACAAGCAATAGCATAGCCAAGGGAAGGGGGGGGGTACAGAATATTCTGAGAACAAGTTAAAACTAATACATCTAATTGCAAAACCATATTAATGAGCAAATTACCAATACATCTTGGACATCTTGATTCTTTATGTACAGTATATTGTGGCATGCTCAGATTTAGTGATAACAAAATATTGCAATTTATTATATTCATTTTGAAGTCAATGGTGTTTCCTGCAATCTGATTGGTTCACAGGAGTGCAATTTCAGCACAAATCGCACTCCTACAAGCTGTTCCATTCACTGTTCGGAGTTTTTCGGAACACTAATGGAATGGAACAGAAGAGAGTCCATGACTGTTCTGAACTGTTCTGACTACCCCGATTTTCGAGTAGGGACAGCCTGAACAGACACGTGACACTGCCTATTTTCACGTGATTGGAAATGGAAGCGACATTTTGTGTATCCAATGCACGCTGTATAGAGCGTTATTTTGAAGGGTTAACCGCTATATTTTGACATATACTTATTATATGCTATTTGAAAGCCAGGGTTGGGCAAAATCAACGAGTAAAAATGTTGCAAATAACAGCGAATCATTATACGCTTTATTGTGCAAATAACTAATTAATATAGTAATGCATGGTTGCACACATATATAATAAACTCTCAACACTGTTCCAGAACACCATGTGCACTCCATTTTATATCATTCCAGAACAGTGTTCCAAATGTTCTGGAACAGTGAATGGAGCAGCCTGCTAGCAGTGTGATTTGTGCTGAAATCGCACCTTCTTTCAACCAATCACATTAGAGTGCTGATTTCAGCCAACCAGTAATATTTAATTATAGGATTCAAACAGCCAATCAAATTTAAGAAAAATGTGAAATGGCAAATGAGCAAAAACAAAAAATTTACATTTGTCATGATTTAAAATTTTTTTAATATCTTCAAGAGTGCCTAAGCAAATTTTTGCACATAAAAGCAAAACAATATGGATAGCTACAGTAAACTATCAAAGAATTGCAAAGAATTAAAATTTTTTTTAAAAATTTCACAAATAGTAACAGGGAAACGCCAACAAAAGCAAATTTAAAGCGTTAAGGAAAAACAAAGGTTAATTCGCCTAAAATCACTCGTAACACCTACAATATGTTTTAACTTACTGTGATAATTTAAAGTAAGAGGGGATTTAGTAAAGAAGATAAAAATTTTCCAATCTGGTAGTCTGGAGTGTTAGTAGTGTCAACTATTGGTCGGAATTTAGGTAAAGTGTCAAATTCCTTGCGAGTCTTTGGCAAGGTTGTTAGGTCGGGTTGCCAGGCCATATCTGAGTCCCAACTTCAAAACAACTAGTTCATCAAACAAGAGTGAAGTTCATCAAACGAGAGTGAGTGATTCGTCAAGTTCACAATTGTTTCGTTCGGATTCTCATTGATACTATCTGATGTCTGTTTCACAGCGGTTCAGACAGCTTTCTGGTGTCTATGAACAATCTTCGTGTTCTCAGAGGAGAGGAGGCAGTTGATGAAACGTAATGGATTTTCACAAAGGTAATGAAATTACTGATGAACAACTTGACGCTCTAAGACCTATCACAGCACATTTTGGGACAGCCTGATAAAAGAAATGGCATTGTGCTCATTAATTGCTCTGATTGTGCAATTTCTATCAAATCTCTTTTTTCTGATTCCTCAAACTTTAATTGGATTACGACCCAACATTCACCAGACTTCATTCTTTACAGAACTACCTACTTAAACTTCACAAACGTAATGAAATTACTGGTAAACAACTTGACGCTCTAAGACCTATGACAGCACATTTTGGCAGAGCACATGCCTTGCCAAAGACTCACAAGAAATTTGACACTTTACCTAAATTCTGACCAATAGTTGACACTACTAACACTCCACACCACACCACAAAGTTGGAAAATTTTTATTTTATTTACTAAATCCTCTTACTTTAAATGTTCATTCTCTTTCTGATTCTTTTGATGTAGTGACCAATACATCGACTATCACAGTGCACAACCTGGATGAAATATAAACTTATCTGCTCCTCCGTCAACCACCTCCTCTCCTCCGAGAAAACCAGGATTGTTGGTAGACACCAGAATGATGATGGTATCACTGAGAACCCGAATGAAACAATTGTGAACTTGACAAATCTCTCACTCTCGTCTGATGAACTAGATGTTTTGTTTGGGACTCAGATACATGGGTGTACCGGGCGGGGGGGGTATCGCCCCCCCCCCCAGTTTGTTGGGCAGTCGGGCAATATTCGCTGAACAGTCGGGCAATTTTGGTTTATTAAAAAAAAATGGGACAAATTCTGTAAATGTTGTGGTAAATTTTGTGATGTTTCCAAAATTTTTATTAGGTTCTGGAAAATTTTGGTATGTCCGTAAAAAAATTTTGACCCCTAAAATGGTACACTGACCGAAAATTTTTTGGCGACGGGGGGGGGGGGGCCGCCAAAAGAAATTCCGGAACAAAAATTTTTTGGTACTTGTCGGGCAAAATCCGGAAAAGTTGGGCAAATTTCTCTCCGCCCCCCCTAAATTTTTCCTTCTGGTACGCCCATGGTTAACCCACTGTGATGAGTACATCTGGAATTTAGGTGCAATATACAAACTGTTCAATATTAACCTTTTCGTTGATATTTGCCATCTTAGAAACTCTTGCCATAACCATCTGTTCTAAGTCATCATCATTGAGTTGTTCCTCTACAATGACATGGTCCTCTTCCATCTGCAAAATCAGATTACTGCTATACACAGCTTTGTCTTATTCATGTTTTACAATGAGATATTGTTTACTTATTTGAATGTATAGGTAATGGTATGGTTTCAAGTGCAATTTGGAAAAAAAAGCATGCACAAGTGACTTCAAAATTGCAAACACTGCAAAAGTGAAAAACTCATGAGTGCCTGTTTTTCCAAGTTGCATGAGAAGGTATACTATTACTTATTAATAATATACACAAAAATTTATTAATCACATACATGTATGCAGGCGAGTCAAATGCAAAATAATATATCGATAATTTGAACAACAACATGTAAACAGAACAACAACTGTCAAAATGTATTAAAAAGAAAATATTTCGAAATGTTTTAACATGTAAACATAAAGGAGAAAAAAGTTTGTACTTCATTTCTTTTTTGGTACTTTATTTCTTTTTTTTTTGTACTTTATTTAAAAAAATTGCACTGCTCTTAGCCAATCAAATTATTAGTATAATATATAACTACCTCCATTGGAGTTCTAGTATGACGACCAAACATCAGAAAGAATGGACTATATTTGGTAGATCCTTGCTTTTGTGTGCTAATTGAGAATGCAACTTCCTCCAAAAATTGATCCCAGTTGTTCTGATGTTCATTTACCAGTTTGGAAAGGCGAACCTTCAGGGTCTGATTGGTACGTTCATCCAACCCATTCGTTTGCGGGTGGTAGCAGTGGCGTAACGGGAGGGTGTCAGGGTGTCCAGTGATGGGGGGCCCCCAAACATTAGGGGCCTCCGACAAAAATGACCTTAAAAAATTTGATAGCACATTTCTGGGGAATTGAATTAATTGAATTGAATAAAAAAAAAAATTCGCTGGAAAAGGCAAAATCCGTCGAGAAATTTCCCGAAGCTGAGACGGATTAAGTGCGTCGCGGCTGAGGTAAAGGACGAGATACTAGAATGAATTAATTGCAAGTTCATTGGGTATGTCCGGAAAAAATTTTGGACCCCTAAAATGGTACAATGTCCGAAAAATTTTTGGCGACGGGGGGGAGGTCGCCAAGAATAAATTGTTCCGAGAAAAATTTTTGGAGCCTATTTTTAGTGGAGCAAAGGGGCCCAAAGTGGCCAATTGACGGAGGGCCCCCAGCAGTTGCGTTACGCCATTGGGTGGTAGGCACTTGTCACAGACCGTTCGATGTTTAACTTTTCACATACCACGTTATTAACCTAGAATTAATGAAAAGGGGGAAGCATGCTCAAGTATCACATTGCAAACTAATTATATACAGCACTATACATGCATTACGATTTTTTGGGGAAAATTTGCATTTATAAGAATAACAAACAATGTGAAAACCAAGAACGGATTTTGTGTGCACCCCCAACAAAAATGTGCATCCCCCTGTCAAAATTTAAATGCACTAAATTAAACTACTGTTAAGTAAGATAGAAATATTATGTTCATCCCCCAGAGAAAAATATGAAAATCCACCCTTGGTGAAAACAATGAAATCATCTATATATGAGTAGTACTTGACAATTTGCAACAGTTAAAATGTAGACTTACGTTTGCAACAAACTTGCGGCCTTGGTCAGATAATAATCTACAAGGAGCACCCCACCTATAAAAAAATTCACATATTTACTGAAGTGGTGACTAAATATACTGCATATGTTCACAACATATTTTTAGTTTATGTAATACAGTATAAGTTTAGTTTATTTATAGTTACATACAATTAATGGAATTTTCCTGACCTGCAAACAAAGGTTTGAATACACCTTGCAATTCCAGCAGCAGCTTTCTCCTTCAGTGGGAAAGAATCCACAAATTTTTTGAAGTAGTCTGTAAAAGTGAGGACATATTTGAATCCTTCCAAAGTTGTTGGAAGAGGTCCTAAACACGGAACAATAAACAGGATACTGTTAGTAAGGATTTTTCTTATCCAAATTTCAAACATCTAAGTAATGTTTTCAATCACATGATCATGCAGCTGATACAAGATGAAAATGGTGTCTTAGAAGAATCCGAAATGTTAGAGAAAAGTAATTAAAAATATTTTAAATAATCTAGAAGAACAAACAAAATATATGTGTTAGCTGTTTAGAATTTCCTGCGAGGCTATTTTTTCCATCCCTGTATGAGTGGCATTGAGTGCTGCTTAACAATAATGCAGTTAAGCTCACTTTCCTTGTGGTCGTTTGAGCAATGTGACTCCACAACACTTTGCACATGTCTATATGCATTGATGTCACCATGTACCAGATATGTATGTTGTACAGTCATATCTATATTACCAATGAGATCCATTCCAACCAATTCCATAGGTTCATTGACCTTGATTGATTTCAATTCTGGTGCCTGAGTTTTTATCTTCTCAAATCGTTGACAACGATCACAAGTCTGGCACTGTTTAGAAGATAAATATCTCTATTAACTCATTCTGTCACCCACAACTTTTTAGTTACTCATAATTGTCTGTCTTATATCACATGATAAGTGGGAAATGTTGTATACAGGATTAATTTAATCAATGCAATGGCAATTTGTCTAATACTGCCAGAGGTTTACTCATTGTTTACAAAAGCATGTTGCAAGTTGAGACTGGGTTTATCACAATGTGTGGCATTGTACGGCTTTGGAATCCATATATGCAGGAAGTTTTATATATTTGACTTACACCTGAAATGTTTATTTTTGGATTTTGCTGCCATGTAGAGAAATATATTTCCTAGGCCTGTAATAAATACCATATACATATGTTCTTGTGACTTACGTATTCTGTGACATCTGCTTTCATACCATGCCATGTGTAATACTGCGAAATTTTAGCCAGTGTGTTATTGATACCCACTATGCCCACCAATAGGATTTGAGTGGTAACCGGTCGTTTCGCCAACGAGTCGTTTCGCCAACTGTTAGTTCGCCAATGTCTCGGGTCGATTCGCCAACGTTTCCTCACGTTCTTATGTCAGTTCGCCAACGCAACGTTTAATCATGGATTGTAAAATAAACAATCCATGGTTTACAATTATTTTACAATCCATGGTCATTTAATAGTTCACGTCTTTATAATGTGAAACCATGAAACACAAACAATGTTTGTAGAAAATATGTTGGAACGTTGGCGATCAAAAGCGTCACCAGCCGTGTCTAACCTTGGTTATTGTTCTATGCTCTATTGTGGAATTTTGTTAGTGCAGAGTATAGTTAATCTTCGTATTGTTGTTTGAAAACTCTTCAGTTGTGTTACTTGAATGGTATATCATATGCATAAAAACTTTCACATTTCGTGAGTTTAAGGCCCTACGAAAAATTACTTGTTTAGCGTCCGCTGATTAAACCTGTTTTACACCGTCTAAAAATAAATATCGGGAGAATTCGCTATTTCGGTTATTCTCTACAAACATTAATAGATTTATATATCCATGTATGAACTATGTAACGTTGGCGAACTGACATAAGAACGTGAGGAAACGTTGGCGAATCGACCCGAGACGTTGGCGAACTGACAGTTGGCGAAACGACTCGTTGGCGAAACGACCGCAATTCATTTGAGTGATACTGGTTTAGGATGTCTTTGATTTCTTCCAACTCGGTGACAACTCTCTTCTTCAGGTCCTTTTTCTGTCCAACATATATCAATTCATTATCTAATATTAAAAGAAAAAAATAATAATTGTAGAATTTGTGATTTTCTCATTTCACAACATATATAGCAGTAGAAATGTAGGAAATTTAAAAACTATCTCTGTCACTCTCTAATAAACAATCTTGCACCAGTCGGTTGCAAAGCATGTTCTCCCTCTCCCTCAAAGCATGGCTTGGTAAATAAATTGCATATAAAACTGATCAATTGTAGTCTTACAGATACAGTATAAAGTAGCCCACAAGCTGCTACAACTATAAGGTTTTTAATTATATATTATATAGACACTTACTGGTTGAATTAAACTTGTGTGTTACTGCCTTGTTCTTTATGTTTCTGATTTCCTTTTTTGAGAGTCCTGGTCTGCATTTGTTCGTTTGTAAGTAATATATCAGGTCCTCGCACTGACTTTCATATTGGCTGAGTCGAACATGTCGTGGGACTGTTACCTTTTTGACAGTAGCCTCTTCTTGCTCGACCACCAGCTCTGAATTACTTGGTTCTGAGGCACAATCTGTGTTTTGTTTACTGATGAGAGTAGGCATCTTTATTCTCACTGACAAATATGGGAATTATATTTAATTTAAGATATGAAATAAGGATGTTGGCGTTTAATAGGAAACATACAGTGATTTTTTAAATTATTGACTCGACAATCGAGTCACTCGACCTGTTGATGTTTATATGATCACTGTAATAGCGTGTAACATTTGATTTAGTATAATAAAACATTAAAAAATACTCACCTTTACAATAACAACAACACGAAACAAAGATGCAGCCACAGAAGAGAAATATCCAAAAGGAATATAAAAAAGCGAAGATTTCGAAGAGATTTTGATACAGTTCGATCAAAGAAAACGTGTTTGCAACTGAGCACAACAGTGTGACCATATATGCAAATTTTTTTACTAAAGCTGCTTAAAATTGGTTGGCTGCCCCCTCCTGTTCTTAATGTTGCAGTTGTTTAAAGCAGGTGGGGTTGTCTAAGGGCAACCAACCGGATCTGGTAATAAAATGTACTAAACCTGGTCACACTGGAGCACAATCTGAGCACGGTCAATATTCATCGCGGGCGCATTGGCTTACTGCGCATGTGCAGATCAATTAAGATCAATCTGAGCATGAAACAATCTCAGACCGCCACACCGGGTGTCGGAGACCTTTAAGTACTTTATAATACGAAAAAACATATAGTTCATTTTGTTTAACCTTATTTGGTTCGCGCACATGATTACCACGCGAGGACGCTTTGTAGGGGGTAGTGAGAGAATTTAGATTTCAAAAGGGCGAGATATTTTTGTGATTCGTCAAGCGAAAAATATAATCTTTTGTAAACATTAGTGAGTGAGTGATTTCTTTATTGTCGGGGAAGCAATCCCGACAAAGTGGCAACCGCCGATGGGACATAACATAAAGAAATATCGAATTTAAACGGGATTTTGTGCTGATTTTAACGTGTAAACATGGGCGACTAGTGTTGACATTGTGAGTATATTTATTGAAATTTCTCAGCGAATATTTACTTTAACTGGAATTTTTATTCATTAAACAAAGGATTATTGGTTATCGAGCATATCTTCTGGGGTTTTCGAAGTGGACATCAATACATTATTTAAATTGCAAAAAGGAATATTTTGGACGGTGAGTTGTTCTGTATAAATATTGTAGCGTGGTGGATCTCAGTACGTAACTGGAGTGATTAAACAATTTATCATTTGGGTTCTAATGAGTGTCTGAATCATGTAAAGGTTTATTCAGGATCGTAGTTTAATATTGAATCAGCTAGAGTATTATCTATCGGACAGTGTGCTTGGGACACTTTTACGGAAATTGAAGACCTCAATATAACTGGATTGATCAAACAAATTGTATATAATCTTACCCATCCAGGGTCCTAATATGGCAACTATGGAAACATTGTTGAAGTTGGTGAATACTAAACTGCAAATGCTGGAATTTACAAATGAGAGTGTAAGGGAAGCTCTAGAAAAACGACATGTCCCCACCATGGAACGGAAGTTAAAAACCTTGCAAGAAAAATCGATGAGATCCAGGACCTGGAAACAAAGATACAAGAAGCAAAGATAGAGAAAGGAGAGAACATTCAAGACATCAAAGAATGGAGCAGCAAGATAGAGAGTGACATTAGTAAATACGAGGCTAGTGTGTTAGAGTTGAACTCAGTTATTAGGGATATTCAGAAGACTGAAAGGGAGCGAGTCAAACGGGAGGAAGAGGACTTAGCTTCTAAAATACGTCATCAGAAATACGAGGAGGAAATGAAATTTGAGGAAGCGAAGTTGCAGCAAAGGCTTAGTTTTGAGAAGTCAATGGAAAGTTCGAAGAATGAAGAGAAAGCGCCGAAGCTGTACACAAAACTTCCCAAGCTTGTTATCACAAAGTTCAAGGGAGTGCAAACTGATTGGCTGCGGTTCTGGAATCAGTTCCAGACTGGTATCGATGGAACCAACATTGCCCAGGTAACTAAGTTTTCATACTTGAAGGAACTGCTTGATCCTAAAGTACGTGTTTGTGTAGATGGTCTGCCCTTCACTACAGAGGGCTATGAAAGAGCAAAGAACATACTAAAGTCCAAATATGGAAAAGATAGCAAAGTTATCAACTCGTACGTTCAGAATATTATTGGATTACCAACTATTCCGGGTAGCCAACCACACAAGATCCATGCATTCTATGAGACATTGTTAACAAGTGTCCAATCATTGGAAACTCTGGGCAAATTGACTGAGGTGTCGGGGTATGTTAGAATGACTTTAGACAAGCTCGAAGGTATCAGGAGTGACTTGGTTAGGACGGATGATGACTGGCAGAACTGGAAGTTTCCCGAACTCATTGAAGCCTTAAGGAAATGGACGGAGCGAAATCCACTTAAACGATATCAGGAACTGGATAAATCAAATCAGAGATGGACAAATAGATCAAAGAACTTCCAAACAAGACAGCAAGAGCACAAGTCGAGATCATGTGTTTATTGTGATGACCCTAGCCACAGATCAACTGACTGCAAAAAGGTGGTTTCAGTGGGAGATCGAAGGAAGATCCTGGGTGAAAAACAGCGGTGTTTCAACTGTACGGGCGCTCGACACAAGGTGGCAGATTGTTGGAGTCAAACGGTATGTCTACGATGCAAGAAGAAACATCATACATCGATATGTGAGGCACAACCAGTGCAACAAATGTTGGTTGCACAGGGTGAAGGCAAAGTGATTTATCTGGTGGTGGTGGTGAAAGCTGGGGGCATTAAATGCAGAGCGCTGTTGGACACAGGGGCTGGGAGCTCCTATGCATCTGCTGCCCTGTTACAACGTCTTAACAGCAAACCAGAGCGACGAGAGTTCAAGAAAATCGAGATGATGATGCAAACATCTAACAAAACAATTGATGTACACAAGTTAGAAGTCACTGATGTGAATGATTCGTTTGTCCTTAAGACGGAAGTTACCAGAGTAGAACCAAGTAATCTGTTAAGTTACCAAGTAATCTGTTAAGTTTGCCAAATCCTAAGTACAACGAAACAATCAAACGGTTTGAACACCTCAAAGGAGTAACAATGGACGATACAGACGAGAAGGAAGAACTTCCGATTCATTTAATCTTAGGAGCAAGTGATTATGCGAAGATAAAAAGTCTTCCCAACCACGTGTAGGTCAAACCGGAGAGCCAGTTGGGGAGTTTACGAAGTTCGGGTGGACCATAATGTCCCCAGGAACAGATGATGACTTTACTAAGATGTTATTTACGAAGACCTCAATGGACGACTACCAGAAGCTATGTGATCTTGATGTCCTTGGTCTTCAAGAGTCTCCAAACGAAGAGCAATGAATTTACGAGGACTCTAAAGAGCAATTGAGACAGAGTAAAGAGAGCTGGTACGAAACTGGTCTTCTCTGGAAGCCTGGAATTGAGGATTTACCAAGCAATGAGCAGGGAAGTCGAGCAAGGCTGACCAAACTAGTACAGAGACAGGAGAAGAAGCCAGATCTTATGAAACAGTACCAGGAAATAATTAAGGACCAGGAACGGCAAGGTATAATCGAGAAGGCACCCCAAGAGTCGAATCAACGAAAATTCTATTTTCCTCACAAACCTGTGGTGAAGGAGTCAGCCGAGACAACGAAAGTACGCATAGTTTATGACGCGTCCGCGCGAGAGTCTGATGATTCACCTTCCTTGAACGATTGTTTAGAGACAGGCCTGGTCCTGCAAAATCTACTGTGGGATATTATCGTGCGAAATCACTTCAAACCAGTTGCTTTATCAGGAGACTTGAAGCAAGCTTTTCTTCAAGTAAGAATCAGAGAGGAAGATAGGGATGTACTGCGTTTCCACTGGATTGATGAAGAAAATCCACATGAAGTTACAGTCTATCGATTTACCAGAGCACTTTTCGGGTTGAATCAGTCCCCATTTCTTCTTGGAGGAACACTAGATCAGCACCTAACGAGCGTAGCAGAAGAATTCCCTGACGAAGTCGTAGAGATTAAGGACAGTTTATATGTAGATGATATCTTAGGTGGTGGTAGTACGGTGACTGAAGTTGAATCGCTAAAGGAAACCGCAATCGAAATCTTTGACAGAGCGCATTTCCAGTTGCACAAATGGCACTCGAACGAGCCAAGTTTAGAAGCACCTGGAGGACATGATCCCGAGACGGAACCAAGCTTTGACAAACAGCAACTGGGAGTAAAGAACGATGAGACCAAGTTGTTGGGCATGAAGTGGAACAAGTCCACAGATCAACTAGCAGTGGTATTCCCTGATGTGGATTCAAAGGAGGACACTAAGAGAACAGTTCTAAGCAAGCTAGCTTCCATATTCGATCCAGGCGCGGATCCAGCCTAAACCCTGACCGTGGCGCACTCCAAAACCGTCAATAATTAGGGGGGTCCGAGGGCATTCCCCCCCGGAAAATTTTTGAAATTTGAACCCCGGAAATGCCATTTCCTGAGTTCTGAGCATCGAATTCTATCATATAATTCGTCATTAATTACGCCATATTTTAGAGAGCAAATAACGAAACGCACTAAATAAGTCAAATATTTAAACAACATACCATGTTCTTCAACGTTACAACATTAGAATGTTACAAAATCACTGTACTTACATAAAACCACAACTCTGTACCGCATGTACTGTTCCTGTGTATTTCAGGTTCTTCGTAGCAAAAAAATCCAATTAGGGCTGTACATCGAACTCAATCATCTTGGCGTTTCTGTTGCAACGCAGGTCTTTTACGGGGTGGGTTTTTTCAGCTGCACATGCATCTTATTCGTGTTTTATTCTCGATCATTCGCTTAAACTGTGTAGCACGGAAAGTTGCCGTTGCGTGAACATTGGATTTTTCACCATGCTGACATAGTTTCTGGACAGCAGAAGCACTTGGAGGAAGAGCACTGGTCATCAATAGTTGGAGCTCGCTTGCATTATGCGTGCTTTCACTGCCAAAAAGAACACAAGTGACGCAAAAACCACCGTTTGCCACAGCAGAGTAAGCCAACCATGGAAATCGTGATAACCATGC